ACTGTGAGGGTGGTGAAGCACTGGAATAGGTGACGTAGGGAGATAGTGGAATCTCCATCCCTAGAGTTTTTAAGTCTCAGCTTGATAAAACCCTGGCTGGGTTGATTTAGTTGCAATTGGTTCTGCCTTGAGCAGGGGGCTGGAATTGATAACTCCTGAGGTCTCTTAGAGGGCTCTAAGGTTCTATGATTCTAAGCTCCCTTGGGACAGTTGCTCTCCCCACCCTCTCTGTGCCCTGATCTGCTCTGATTTCACCCCCTGCGCAGGGTTTCCCGTTCCCAAACCTGAGCTGATCGCCCGGCTGGAACAAGGGGAAGAGCCCTGGGTGCCAGACCGCCAGGCTGGGAAGGAAGGAGAGATCCCGAGAGGCACCCGCACAGGTGAGGACTGACACAGAAATCCACTGGTGAATGAAGGGAAAAGTTGTGGGGTGAGAGAGTCCTCTGTTCTTCCTACAGTCTTGCAGGGCAGGGCAGAGCTGTCATCAGCAGGTGTCACTCGAAGCTGCAGGACAGGGAGTTCCCTTCCCTGTGAGTGGTTGTGTGGGAAGCGGAGGGACAAGCCAAATGCTGGGTCTGTACAACTCCAGTGTGTTGGGTTTTCCTTTGATTCTGTTCCTCTTTCTCCCCAACTCAGTGACTCCAGCCTGGATTGTCTCTCTCTCCCAGCAGGTGATGAAACCGTGAGTGTCAAGGAGGAAGAGGATCCCAATCAGGAAGTTGATGTAGTGCGTGTAAAGGTGGAAGAGACTCAATATGAGGACGTTCCTGGGAAGACAGAACCGCAGGCGACCTTTGTGGGAAGAGCTGAAGGGAATTTTTCCCAGTGCTTGGAACAGGGAGAAGCCTGGGGAAACTGGCTGAAGCCGGAGAGGCTGCTGGGAAGCCACCCAGTGAAGAAAGAGGATGAATCTGTTCCATGTGGGGCAGGAGACGAGGTTCCCCCATCCCAGGACATAAATCTAAAGGGAGAGAAGCACTATTACTGCCTCCACTGTGGGAAAGGCTTCAGTGAGAGATCCCACCTTGTCACACACCAGACAATCCATTCTGGAGAGAAACCCCTTCGATGCTTGGCCCCTGCGAAAATCATCAGTAATCACTCAGAGCTCGATAGCTCGGGGAGAAGCCACGCAGGAGAGGATCCCGACAGATGCCTCAAGTGCTGGAACTGTTTCATTTGGAAGTCAATGTCCACCGTGCCCGAGGCCACGGACAGAGAGGAGCGACCACCTGTGTCCTTGGACTGCAGAGAAAGTTTCAGGGATCAGTCAGAGGTCAACAAACATCAGCCCCACCACACAGCAGAGCAACGACAAAAGTGCTCGGACTGCGGGAAGAGTTTTTCACTCAGAGCTCGATAGCTCGGGGAGAAGCCACGCAGGAGAGGATCCCGACAGATGCCTCAAGTGCTGGAACTGTTTCATTTGGAAGTCAATGTCCACCGTGCCCGAGGCCACGGACAGAGAGGAGCGACCACCTGTGTCCTTGGACTGCAGAGAAAGTTTCAGGGATCAGTCAGAGGTCAACAAACATCAGCCCCCCCACACAGAAGAGCAACGACAGAAGTGCTCAGACTGCGGGAAGAGTTTCGAAGACGAAACGGCCGTTGTCGCCCATCAGAAGATCCACACTGGGGAGAGACCCCATAAGTGCCTGGACTGCGGGAAAAGTTTCAAAGAAAGGTACGACCTTGTGAAACATCAGGCCGTTCACAAAGAAGAGCGACCCCATAAGTGCTTATATTGTGGGAAAGGTTTCATGCAGAGGTCTTACCTTATTAACCATCAGGCCATCCACACGGGAGAGAGACCCCACGAGTGTTTGGAGTGTGGGAAAAGTTTCATACGGAGGTCAGACCTTGTTAAACATCAGGCCATCTACACAGGGTCGAGACCCCACAAGTGCATGGACTGTGGGAAAAGATTTGGAAATGTATCAGACCTTCTTTCGCATCAGGCAAACCACACTGTAGAGAGAACTCATAAGTGCTTAAACTGTGGAAAAAGTTTCAGGTGGAAGTCAGTCCTGGTTAGACATCAGGCAATTCACACCGGGGGCAGACCCCATAAGTGTGTGGACTGCGGGAAATGTTTCATTCGTAGGTCAAACCTTGTGAGACATCAGGCCATCCACATGGGGCAGATAAGCACTTGAATTGTGGGTGAGTTTCATAGAGAGGTCAGCCCTTCTTAAATATCTGAGCGTCCACCAAGGAGAGAGGCCCCCTACGTTTCTGGACTGTGACAAACATTTCATGTGGAGGTCAGATCTTGTTAAACATCAGGCAATCCACACAGCAGACAGGCCCCCGTAAGTGCATGGACTGCAGGAAAAGTTTCATAGATAGGTCAGACTATTAAACAGGCAATCCACACAGGAGAGATGGTGTGTGTCTGGGTCTGTGAGAAAAAATTAAACCGATCGGCCCTTCTTAACATCAGGCAAGCCATACTGGAGAGAGACCCCCATATATGCTTCCATCAGGAGCTGGCACGGGGGTGGGAGCAGAGCTCTGGATCTGCCTCCTGATTTTTGTACCAGTTTCCCCTCGCCCAGGCTGAACTCTGAACTACAACACAGCCTGTGAGTGTGGTATGTGATGAATTTGGAAGCTGGGAGCTGCAGTAATAGGGTGGGTTCTGGCGTGGCCTAGGGGTTAGCGTGTTTGCCTGGGGAGGGTAGAGTGGTGGGTTCAAGTGTCCCTTCCCCCCGGGATGAAATGGGACAGGCAACACCCTGGCTGCCCCAGTGGAAGGCGGGATAAGGGATGTCCTGAAGGTGTGGTGGGGGGAGTTCTGTCATGGCCTAGGGGATAGGGCATTCGCTTGGGGAGGGCAGGGTGGCAGGTTCAAATCTGTGGCCAGGGAGCCCTGGTAAAAGCCAAGCTATCCAGAGCTCTTCTTCAGGTCTGAGGGCAGGGCTTGGTTTAGTGTTGCACCTGCAGCTCTTTGGGAAAGGTGCTAGGGTGATACCAGGAGACAGCTAAGTTGATAGGAGAAGCTCTGCCATTGACGTAACAAGGTCTATACTAAGCAACCCTCCTTCCCCCACCCCCACCCCGCCTGCTGCTGTCCTATTAGCAGTTATACATTTACTTAACTAAACATGTTTTAACATCTCTAGTCTATACCTAGTCAGTATCGCGGTGCGGGCTAAGTGGTGTGGGTTTTTCACAACCCTGAGGGACACATGTATACCGTATCAACGTAACACATCAGGACAAAGAAAGGGAATGGGAGGGGCAAAACAGCTGGAGGAGTCATTTGTGGGTGGTAGTTTGTAATAAATCATAAAATTATTCCGCTCCCCCAGATTTCAAAGTATTTTACAAAGGACAGAAAAGATCTTTTCTCCATCCCCATTTTACAGAGAGGGAAACCAAAATAGAGTGACTTGTTCAATGTCATTCAGCAGGTCATCACCGGTCTCATGATAGGTGCTTAGCAGGACTAAACAATAGAGCAGGTAAGCCTGGTCTACTGTAGTTTGGGATTGGATGCAAAACCGCTTATGTCAATATAGGGGTTACATCTACCCTACGAGCCTCTTGCGGAAGAGCAAATGCTATGGAGCGCTCTTTTGCATCCGTCGTGTTTTCAGTTGCATTTCCTCGTCCTTTCCCTTTTGCGCAAGAGGTTTTTGCGCAAAAAAGCGCTGGGTAGACGGCCCCTTTTTGCGCAAAACCCTCCTTTTGTGCAAGAGCCGTTATTTTGGGGGAGGTTGCGCTGTTTTGCACAAAAACCTCTTGTGCAAAAGGGAAAGGAAGAGGGAATGCAAATAAGAGCGCAGCGTATGCAAATGAGCACTCCATTTGCATTTGCTCTTCCGCAAGAGGCTCATAGTGTAGACGTAACCTAAGGGTGTATCATTGCTACAATATTGCTCCCATTGATATCGCTTGACCAGTATGCCGACTTATTACCTATTAAGGTCAAGTATTTAGTTTGATGTACTTATGTCAATGCAGTGTCAGTATATAGGGAGCCTTAGTGGTGACTCTCCCCCCACCTCCAAGGGCCCTCTGGGAAACTTGGAGAGCCAGCCCACCCTACTGAATCCGGAGGGGGAGTTATGAAAGAGGACGAGGCAAGCCTGATGCAGGGGAGAGAACCTCTGAGAAGTATGAAGCTTGCTTTGATAGTGCAGAGATGTCCTGAAGGTAAGGTGGTGGGGTGAGTTCTGTCATGGTCTAGGGGATAGGGCATTTGCTTGGGGAGGGCAGGGTGGCAGGGACGTAGCTGCTCACTTACTTTTTTTTTAATATATACTTATGCTATCAGAGGTAGTGAAATAACCTCTGGGCACCACATTTCAAGAAATATGTGGAGAAATTGGAGAAGGTCCAAAGAAGAGCGACAAGAATGATTAAAAGTCTAGAGAACATGACCTATGAGGGAAGACTGAAAGAACTGGGCTTTAGTTTGGAAAAGAGAAGACTGAGAAGGGGACATGCTAGTGGTTTTCAGGTATCTAAAAGGGTGTCACAAGGAGGAGGGAGAAATTGTTCTTCCTTGGCCTCTGAGGACAGAACAAGCAATGGGCTTAAACTGCAGCAAGGGAGGTTTAGGTTGGACATTAGGAAAAAGTTCCTACCTGTCAGGGTGGTTACACACTGGAATAAATTGCCTAGGGGGGTTGTGGAATCTCCATCTCTGGAGATATTTACGAGCAGGTTAGATAAATGTCTATCAAGGATGGTTTAAACAGTACTGGGTCCTGCCGTGAGGGCAGGGGACTGGACTCGATGTGACCTCTCGAGGTCCCTTCCAGTCCTAGTGCTCTATGATTCAACTAATAGTAGAACTGCTGTCTGCTTGCCAGTAGTTGGGCAAAAAGGGTTCTGGAGAACAGGTTGTTTATGTGCACCAGGAGGGTCCATGAATTCATCACGGAGAACTCACGGGGGCTTTCCTTGAGAGTATCTGCAAGCCTCTCGCAAAAGGCTGCCTTGTTTTTTCAGTGGGCATCTTTGCAGCACTTAGGCTATCAGCACACAGACCTAGTCTACAGGTAGATGCCTGCAGGAGCTGTTCCCTCTCAGCCTCTCCTGTCTTCAGGAGTGAGACATCAACTGAAATCACTATTAGTTGCAGAAAATGTTGTGGAAAGTGTTGTCCTTTGTCTAGCTTTCATCTTTCTTGTATCTCGCAGCGCTCTTTTAAGGTAAGGAATATTTGGCAGCTTTATCCACAAAGGCTGGCCGCCTTAAATCAAGAATTTTTTAATTTAATTTAGGATCTTGATATCCATAATGAGCAACGAAGAAGATGAAGCTAAAACTCACCAACAGGAAAATAAACAAGAGACACCAACACCTTCAACCTCAAGTGCAACTCCTCCTAAGAAACTCAGAAGAATATGCCAGTATAGTTCAAGCTGGGAAAACCTATTTTCTTGGGTTGCCATGGATGATTATGACAGAAGTAAAGCCAGATGTAAAATGTGCAATACATCCTTTATTATAGCATATGATGGCATTAAGGCATTAGCACAACACGCTGACTCTCGTAAACATGCGAAAACTGTGCAAGCTGCTCCCGCTTCCCAGAGAACGAACTCTTCCTTCGTTATCAAAGACAGTCCACAAAGTGACCAAGTAACTGTTGCTGAGTTGACTCACATTTACCATGGAGTGAAGCATCACATCTCTTTTCTTGCTCAAGACTGCAGCATCAACGTTATGAAACAAGTACTTAAAGATTCTGAAATTGTCAAGAAAATGGCAGCTGGGTGCACAATCGCTTCTGCTGTTGTTAACAACGTTTTATATCCTTTCTCAATAGAGCTGTTTTTAAATGATTTAAAGAATAGCACGCCATTTTCGGTTGCCACCGATGCATCTAACAAAGGAAACTGCAAATTCTTTCCTGTGGCTGTACAGTATTTTACACCTCAAGAAGGACTGTGCTTCAAAATCTTAGATTTTTACGAAAGTGCATTTGAAGATCCACAGTCCATAAAAGATCAATTGTGTCACGTGCTGAATGAAAAAGGACTATCATGGACAAATGTTTCAGCATATGGAGCAGACAACACTTCAGTGAATTATGGCGTAAACAATTTGGTTTTTCAAAAATTAGCCGAGCAAGAGAATGAAAATATTATTGCAGCTCACTGTATTAATCACATTTTGCATAACTGTGCCAAATATGCTTTCAAAGTTCAAACTTTTGACATTGAAAACTTAGTTTTAAAAGTGTTTGCTGAATTTTCGAACTCGGCTAAAAAACGAGAAGAGTTGAAAGATTTTTTTGAATTTTGCGAGGTTGAGTTCCCCGAAGTCTTGAGGCACATTCCAACACGATGGCTTAGTTTGTTTAATGCAGTCGAGCAATTGTTGTTGAACTGGCAACCACTAAAAGCTTATTTTCTTTCACTCGGCTCTGACGATTGCCATGTGGCAATATGGAATATTATTTCTGATCAGGAAGACGAAATGGCAAGCGATGAACAACCAACTCTTTCTGAGCTGTATCTTTATTTCACTCACTATTTCATGTCACAATTCCAAGATACATTGCTCAAATTGGAAAACCGATCAACACTTTCTTGTGACCTTTATTTGATCATGGAAAAGTTCTGTAATTCCTTGAGAAAAAAAATTGATGATAAGTTTTTTGGTATGAAAGTTACATTCGCATTTCAGAAGGACTATTTACCAGTTCATGTAATCAATAAATTTACCTCTGAAGCACTGAATGTGTATACAAGAGCCCTCAAATATTTGGAGAAGTGGTTTCCTTTTGAAAATTCACCATATCGTGTTCTGAGCGCTTTGAGTTTGGCTAATCGTGAAAAATCTCCTTCTTTTGATGAAGTAATTCAAATCTGGATGCTGTCACCATGGAAAAAAGAGCTCCCTCCAATTTCTCTTTATGAGGAACTCGGTGCCTTGGACATGATGTTCACTTCCCTTGAGGGCACAACATCTCTTGATAAGTGGAAATATTTTTTCAACAAAGAACCTGCTGCTCCAAATTTGTTAAAGCTGGTTCAATATTGTGTTTCAATTCCTGTGTCAAATGCCGGTGTGGAAAGGATTTTTAGTGTCATGGGTAATCTATGGACTGATGAATGCAATAGATTGAGCCTCGAGTCAGTAAGAAGTGAAATTTGTGTTTTTTTTAATATACCTTTTACCTGTCTGGAAGCCAAAGATGAGTTTTTGAAAAATAAAAAATTGATTAAAGCCGCACAATCTAATGTAAAATATATGATGTAGATCAGTGTTTCTCAACCTTTTTAAATAAAGTACCCCTTTTAAAAAAAATTAGAAGTACCCCCAGTACGTACAGTCTTCAGACACACACAATTTTTGTTTACCATTGCCGCACATTTGTTTAAACAACTTAATTATAGCTAGGCAGGCGATGACATTTTTGGGTGTAAAAAGTAAAAAAATAATAAAGCGTTGTAAAAAGTAACACAAACATTCACTTTTCTCCAAATTTGAGCTGTGTTGATGTACCCCCCCAGACTTCTCTCGAGTACTCCTAAGGGTGCTTGTATCACTGATTGAGAAACACTGATGTAGATTGCTGTCAATAAAATTCCCATTGGTTGTTGAGCATGTTGTTGGGTTTTGTTTGTTTGGTTTTGTTTTTTGCTCAACCACTTTTTAGCAAGTGTGGCTGGTATTTTGGTTGAAACCATCTGGCAACCCTATGACCTGGGAGGGAGAGGGGCAGGCAGGTTTAGTTTGCACTGAGCAAGCTCAGTCAACACTACCGAAGCTGCTGCCCTCACTCCACCCTCGACACTCTCCTGATTTCCTTGACTTCAAGTCTGAAGAGCACCAGCATGGAGTGTGCTGGACATCCTGGACCTCATTGACAGATGGGGAGAGGAATATATTCTCGCTGAGCTCCAAAACAGCAAAAGAAATGCTGATATTTACGCCAAGATCCCAAGCCACCTGGTGGCCAAAGGGTACTCCAGGGACGCCCAGCAGTGCTGAGTTAACATAAAAGAGCTGAGACAGTCCTGTCACAAGACAAAGGCAACAAATGGACCGTCTGGTGCATCACCACATACGTGCTGTTCTTACGCCGGTTGCATGCAGTTCTAAGGGGAGACCTGAACAGCCTCCCAAGCCAGACTGTGGAGTCCAGCCAAGACGCTCCGAGTACCGGCGTGGAGGACGGCGTGGTAGCGGGAGGAGGAGAATGGGCAGCCGGCGAGCGGTGAGAGCCAAGGACTTTTCATCACTTTGGAGCCAGTCCTCTCCTCCCAGGACGTCTCACAGTCAAGCGCCGATCCCAGGGAGGGCACTTCTGGTGAGTACACCGTTTTTAGTCTTGCAACAAGCGGGTGAAGGCAGTTGGGTGTGAAGTGTAGTGTGCTGTGTAGGCACATAGCACGGGAGGCCCGGAACAGCTTGTTAACAGATCTGGAGATGGAGCGGGACTCCTCCTCCCACATCTCTATGAAGCTCTCAGATGGGGACGCTTGGATCCTTCTCACAAGGTGTCTGGGGTGGCTGCCTTATTCCGTCCTCCACGGTAGGATCCCATCCCATGCCAAGCCGGCAGGAAATGGTCTGGAGGCCTTGAATCACAAAACATTGCAGTTACAGGGTTTCTGGCTGCATTCGGTCAGCATCCGCTCCCGATCGCTCTGTGCGAGTCGGAGAAGGTGGGTATCTCACGGGGCAACCTGGATGAAAGGAGGAGAAGCAATTCGCTGCTACCTCTGTTACTAGCGTGGCTTCAGCCTCTAGGACTCCCTCCTTCCTGTCGTCCTGACCAGGCCACTCTCCTGGGAAGTGGGGTGCGGTAGACACAGGAGAGGGAAGCCGTGTGAGCCACCACCCTGCCCCCACTATCCCCCCCTCCCATCTGCAGGATGGTGCCTGACCTTGCCTTCCTCCAAACCGCATGAGTCCAGATATTTGCCTGGGAACTGTGTTGTGTACTTGCTGCACAGTAGGGCTGCTTCAAAGCATCACTCGAGCCTTGCACAGAACACCTCTCCGCTGTCTTTAGGGAGACCGCCCCTGGATGTTGACCGACTGGGTTTTAGGCTCCACCGTGTATCTCCCGTAACATCTGCCCTTGAAACTTTGCACACCCTCCCGGCTGTCCACTGCGCACAAATCCGCAGGCGGAAGTGGACAAGGGAAGACTTGTTTAAGGAACAAATGGGAGTGGAGGAGGTACGAGAGTAGCGGCAGGGAAGGAAAGCCGCGTGGCAGGGGGGGAGGAAAGCGTGCAGGAAACTACAAACGAAGCTTTGCAAATGAGGACGTGGGGAGAGAGAGGAGACCCAAGGGCAGCCTCACACTCATCCTCCAGGATGTTGCGAGACAAAAGGATGTTCTTTTCCCACTTCTGATTCCCGCATCTCTCTTCAGGTCCCACCAAGGGCTCCTTTTCTGCCCTGGCTGTGTTTCCTAACTAAAAACACATGAGTTCTAAACAGTAGTCTCTTTATTACTTGTAGGCTGTGTCTACACTGGCAAGTTATTCCGGAAAATCAGCTGCTTTTCCGGAAAAACTTGCCAGCTGTCTACACTGGCCACTTGAATTTCCGGAAAAGCACTGACGATCTCATGTAAAATCATCAGTGCTTTTCTGGAAAAATTATGCTGCTCCCCGTTTGAGTCTTTTTCTGGAAAACTGTTCTGGAAAAGGGCCAGTGTAGACAGCACAGTACTGTTTTCCACAAAAAAGCCCCGATCGCGAAAATGACGATCAGGGTTTTTTTGTGGAAAACCGCGTCTAGATTGGCCACGGACGCTTTTCCACAAAAAGTGCTTTTCCGGAAAAGCGTCCTGCCAATCTAGATGCGCTTTTCCGAAAATGCTTTTAACGGAAAACTTTTCCGTTAAAAGCATTTCTGGAACATCATGCCAGTGTAGACGTAGCCGTAGTGTAGGAGTGGGCTCGCGATTACAGGCTTGTTCTGTTCCTGGACAGCCGTGCACGTGCTCTCAACATATTTCCCCATTAGGCGTACCAACATAGACCTCAAGTACTCCTGTAGCACCTGAGCCTTGCTCTACACTAGGGCTGTGTCTACACTGGCATGAATTTCCGGAAATGCTTAAAACGGAATACTATTCCATTTTCAGTTTTTCCGGAAAAGGAGTGTCTACATTGGCAGGCTGCTTTTCCGGAAAAGCCCTTTTTCCGGAAAAGCGTCTGTGGCCAACGTAGACGCGCTTTTCCGGAAAAGAGCCCCGATCGCCATTTTCACGATCGGGGCTTTTTTCCGGAAAAGACTACTGGGCTGTCTACACTGGCCCTTTTCTGGAACAGTGTTCCGGAATAAGGACTTATGCCCGAGTGGGAGCAGAATAGTTTTTCCGGAATAGCGGCTGATTTTGTACAGTAGAGCATCGTTGCTTTTCCGGAAATTCAAGGGCCAGTGTAGGCAGCTCGCAGCTTATTCCGGAAAAGCGGCTGATTTTCTGGAATAAGTGGCCCAGTGTAGACACAGCCTAGGGCTTTATTTCGAAATAACTCCCCTTAGGTTGAATTTACAAGCGGTGTGTCACTCTACCACGCCCGTTATTTCAAAATATTGGGCCGCTTACTCTGAAATCCGTACTCCTGCTTTCTTCGAGGAATAATGTTCATTCCAAAATAGGTATTTCGAAATAACATTAGCGGGGAGGCTCCGGTGCCACTCTTTTGAAATAACTACTCCCCAGAGTCACTCAAACTAATTTACTCCCCAGTGCTTCCCGGTAGAGCATCTATGTTAAGGGAGTCTGCCTCGGACTAATTTCGATGCTTCTCTGTAGTGAGGACTAAGGATGTGAAACTGACTAGTTGACTAATGGATAGAATTTCTGTCGACTCGTCGATAGGCATTTCTGCATTCCTCCTTTGAAATGTACAAGAGCCACTGCATTTCAAAGGAGGAATGTGGAACTCCGTGTACAGCCCAGGGCCAGCGGGAAGTCCCGCTGCCTCCGGGCTGCACACGGAATGCTTGCTTTGAAATGGACAAGAGTCCCCAGTGCGGGGAGCAATGGAGAACTGGGCTTCATCTCTGCCACTCCTGCCATCCGTTGTGGGGCGGGGCAGAGATTGGGACTTCAGCTCCTGCCTTCAGCCCTTGTGGGGACAGGCATGCTGGGGATCGGGGCAGGACGGGGGCCAGGGTTCGGGGCTTTACACATGGTCAACCCAGCGGGGAGGGGGGGGTGGAGCTGGGACACAGACTCCAAAGTTGTGCAGAACCCGGTTAACAGCCTTGTTTTAGGTGACACCCTCCTCCCCGCGCCCTTCACCCCTGCCCCCCACCGGTCACACGCAGGGCTGTTTCTCCTCCCACTAACTCCTCCTCCTCTTCCTGTCTCCCCTCCCTTCCTGGGGCCAACATGTGCTCTCTCTGTCCAGCCACCTCCGGCCGCAAACAAGAGGTGGCTGGAACATGGGACAGCCTGGGAGATACCAGACCCCCTGGCTGTGTGACGAGAAGAGGCTGGGTGGATACAGCTCCAATGTGGCCAATGAAATTTGGACATCTATGAGCAGATTGGCTGGGGCATGGGGGACGAGGGGAGAAGTGGGGGGGGGGGGGCAGGCAGGCCCTGTGACGTTTCCCAGGATCCTGCTTTTACCAGGACCTGCAATCCATCATCCTCTGCAGCAACCTCACCCACCCTCCCCACAACCGCAGGCCCAGTTTGACCTGGAGGCAGGGAAAGTGCACAAAGTCTCCTCCTGCCGCCAGGGACATGGGCACATAGAGGGAACCGCCAGCTGTTCAGAGCAACTGGCAGTTCTCTCTGGAGGGGCGGAGCAAAGACTTCACGCACTCCCTCCATCCCTAGACCAATCAGGGTCTGTGGGTGGGGGAGCACAGAAATGTCCTGGCCCCGCCCCTTCCACCATAGGCCCCGCCCCTTCGACACGAGACCCCCTCGCCCCTGCCCAGGGGCACTTCAAAAATGTGTGAAGTAGCTCCCCTTCTAAAATTATTGCCCACCCCTGCTCTATAAGAATTGAAGTCCCGCTTGGGTTAAAGTCAGTGGCCAAATCTACAGGGGAAATGAACCTCATAAAGAAATAACACCTCCATGCTGTGGTTTTCATGCATTAGCCCTGAGGTTTAATGTTGTCCGATGCTTTTCCAATCCCAAAGGCTTGCTTGTTTGCTTGCTTGCTTTCCAAATGTCAAATAGAAACATCTAAAGCAGAAAACGACAGCCACAGGCCACAGGAATGGCCCGTCCATCATAATGTGCTGCCCCATGAGGACAGATAGAGGTACCACAAATGGGATAGATAAACCTGTGATCACAAATGGGTACCCCGGGCCCATGACATGGGGAAAGGGGGCGAGAAGCCAATTGCAAGGGGATGATAAGATGGCAGGGGGTAAGGCGGAGAAACCAAATCCTTTCAGGGCAGTAAAAGCCAGAAGGTAGATGTGTCAGTAGCCACGACCAGCACAAACCGTTTGTAATGTTACACTGGCCAGGAGGGGATGGTGGATTTGAGGGTGTGGGGTTGCTTAAGACCCAGCAATGGGCAAATTCAGCCCTAAAACCCCCAGAGGAACCTGGTGGTAAAACACTGCCGACTACAGGAGCTGAGAGAGGGCAGGAGAG